AGCATGGATTTTTACCTGAACGATCCTGCGAAACATGCCACTTGGCTTTTCTTAATCTAATCACTTCTCTTCGTAATGAGCGGCAGTCAGTGGTAGTTATCTACTTTGATTTTAGCATTGCCATCGACGGGGTGCCACATTAACGTCTTTAAGTAAAATTGGAAGCCCTCGGCATCCGGCCGCCTCTACTCGACTTCATCGGGTCCTATCTGTCCAAACGATATCAGAAAGTCATGGTCGGTAATAGCTACTCGACACCTCACTCGATCACGTGTGGCGTACTTCAAGGCACGTTTCTGGGTCCGCTACTCTTCCTTCTGTACATCAATGATATTTCGACTGAACTCGGAATTTCGCAAACTTTTACTTATGCCGATGACCTCAAGTGTGTTTACTCATACTCTAAGGACACCGCAAATGTTTGTGTTGAAAAAATTAATGCCGATTTACTACGCTTAAGCAGATGGGGTTCGACATGGCAGATGGAGTTTTCATCATCCAAGTGTAGTTTCATGTCTTTTGGTCCTGCCAAACTTCCTAGTGCCATAATTTTTCAGAATAACCCGCTCTCAGACTGCCTCACCATAAAGGACCTAGGCCCAAGTTATACAAATAAGCTTGCTTTATCACCTCATGCAGATAGAAGCTCTGCCAAGGCCGCGCAGGTATGCGGATTCATATCGCATAATTTTTTCCTTCCGGAAATGAAGCTAAGATTTTATCAAATGTTTGTTCTTCCAGTCCTCGAATACTGCTGTCCTTTCTTCGGTTTAATGAACGCCTGCGACCGTAATAAAATCGAAAATGTTCAGAGGGTTTTCACCCGGAAACTGTTCTCTGAAGCTTCGTCCGGTATTTCTTATACTCAGAGATGTCAGCAGGCGAACATCAAGTTTTTGTGGGTTAGAAGACTCAAAGCTGGCCTTTGCTTCCTTTTTCGCATCAACTTTAGCTCCAGTCTTCCGCCCATTGACACTCTCACTCCGAGGGATCGGTCTTATGCCATGCGTAACTCCTGCATGGTGATTCCGCCGTCTCTTTGTACTACATCTAAGCGCTCCCTCTTCTTTGCTTCCAAATATGCCTTCCTTTGGAATAATCTTCCGCCTGAAATTAAATTATCGCCTAAGTTACTGGTATTCAAGTTGAAATTACGCAAACATCTTACAACGGATGGCATAAAGGCACTGTTAATGGTCTCGTTCCCGAACACTCAGATTTTTGACTTCGAGAAGGGTCGTCCTGGGATTTAGTGGTAGATTAAGTGGTAACTCTTAATTATATCATTAGAAACCCTGTTTTTAAATGGTTTCTAAATCGACTGCAATCACTTCTCCCCCATAGAGACAATTTTCGCGGTTTTTGATGTCATCTCCCGCATTCCGACCTCATGCGGTCTGTCGACGCTCACGGCGGAACCCTCAGTATTCACTGTCTACTAGTAGTTTGGTCGTACCTCCCTTCCTCACTGCTCGGCTGAGCTCGAAGCGTACTGTGGCCGATCGCATCTGGGTTCCTCTCGTCTGGCCTCTTTGACGCGAATAGTCTCATGCGGCGTATCAATCCGGCCCAGACGATGTCAATTGTGAATCCCGTATACAATACCACATGCAGGCCACTCCTGTCTGACCCGCATACGTACCCCTCAAGGCTGACATTTATTGCTGCCTGACGATGACCGACAACAATCCGTTATATGCAGAATGGTATTGCCGACAAAGACAAGGGAGACTGGAATGGCCATTTCTGGCTTATTAGCCGTCGTCAGTCAGCCATACCCAAGCCCGAAGTGTGGAACACCCGAGCCTCGAACTCGCGACCTGTTGGTTTAGAAGTCAACGCCTCTACTCACCGGGCCACGAGCCCGTTGCCTTGTCGGTTTTCGATCGGGAATATCCAATGTTAGGGGGCGCTCACCGATCGTTCATACGGAACTCACTCGTTCCGTTGTGCCTTATGGACTCCGTTATATACCGCCACCTACAGGCCAGTCCTGCTCGCTGTTTTCTGTCATTATTTTTATTGAGGGTTTTTTTCCTGTAAAATTAATTCAATCATTTTTAACTTTTGGATGGAGTTTTTTTTCACCCCTCACTAATCATGTTTCTCAATGGAATACTAATTCAGAAACTATGAATTGCATTTTGTAATGATTCTGCCTACCCCGTCTAAAACTCGCATGTACATTTATTTTAACTCTCTTTTATGGGACCCCGACGGGTCTTTAGTAAAAATTATCTATCTATCTATCTTCACCTACCTGCGCAGCAGTTCATTTAGCAGCACCAAAATCGACGGCGTGTTGGCCCCCGGATCGTCGAGGCAA